GATGTTTCCTCTTTTAACCCGACACATCCATCGTTAATTATTATTGTTGGGCTTTGTTAACTTAGTTAGGGTTTCAAATATCTAAATAAAAACGTTTGGGTCATTGTTTTGTTTTCCGTAAAGTTCAGGGTTCTATTACCAATTTCCCCTTCCCGTCGCTGAAAACTGAAAATTCCACCTCTCTCCGTTCACGCTTCCGAAGTTGCCGTTTCCTTCTCTCTCTGATCAAAGCGATGGCTTCGTATGCTTCGTTACTAGAGAAAACTCGCGTACCTCAACCTTCCATACAAAGATTCGCAGTGATTTCCGTCTTCTCCAAGTTACGATCTGCTACAGACCAACTAGGATCGGAATCCGAAGCCGGAAGACAAGCTATCTCCTTCTGTCTCACTTCCGAGTCCGTCACTGTCGTCGATCAGTCAGTTCATGAGCTATGCCGATTAGTATCAGACTCCGTTCTAGACCTCTCCCGCGGTTTGCTGGAACTTCAATCAGCTCTCGAAGGATGCGACACGAAATTGGTTTCGCTATTTGTTAAGGGTTTAGGGTTTTTGATTCGTATGGGTTATGAACAGAAAGATGGGAATTGGAAGTTCAATTGGACTGAGAATCATCCGTTTGTCAGGGTATGTGATTCGTGATTCTGTGTGAATAATGTCGAAATTAGCCAGTCTTTGATGCTTTCTCCTTGTTGTTTCTTTGATTGCAGATTCTTTCTAGTCGAGCGGAGACGCAGACTGAGCTTCTTCACCAAGTGTCACTCTTTGTTATGCATAATCGGCGATTGGGAATGGTGGGAGTATGTGAGTTCTTGGAGCCGTTCCTGAATTACACAATATTGCGTAACCCACTTGCAGATTCATCATCGTCTTTGTTTGCGAGGGAGTTGATTTCATTAATGGCTTCCCTTTGTTGCTCATGCCGCCATGAAGCACTGCCACTATTCAGATTGCTTATCCGCTGCCTAAAATATATCCCGGGCAAAAATCTGGAAGTAAGTATACATTATTGATAGTCAGTTTGGTGAATATGACCCAGTTCTAAATTTCTGAAACTATTCAGGACAATAGAAATTTTACCTGCATTGTCAAGACTCTAGTGGATGCCTACACTGTGGTTGTGAGAGACTTGGTTGGAGCTAAATTGGTATGTGCTAATTGCCTCTTGCCTTCATGTTAATCTTTGTGCTCGTTGTCCGGCATTCATTCATTTATCTATGCTAGCAGGAAGTAACAGAAGTTCATCTGCTTGGTGTGCAACTGGTAGAGGCCGTAATTTTTCTTTGTGCCTCTCCTCATGTCCAAACAACTGAACAAGAGCCTGTTATAGAATCGTTGAAGCACTTGTTAGCTGTTCAGAAAGACCTTGGATTACCATATTTACGTAATTTATCCGTGGTGGTTCTCTCGCTAGTTTTCATGCTTGCCAAGTCCAATGTCGAGCATGAACAACTCTCTATTTTAAAGTTCCTGCTTTTTCTGCTCAGATGGAAAAGTGAAAATGGTATATCTATGTCTCCATCTTTCTTGTCATTACACTCTTGCTTGTTTCATTGTCTAATATTGTAGTAGCAATTACTTCAATCAGTTTGGTTTGCCTGGCTAAACTGTGTATATTTTCTGATGACTGAGAATTGATTATTTTGTAGAAAAATTGTCCGTTAGAGATGCCTGTTCAAGTGTGGAGCCTCTATTATTGTTTCCTATCATCACACTGATGTCGTCTCCTTCTAAAGCAGTCAAAGGAGCAGCAAGTAAGGTTCTTTCCATCGTAGAAAATGTCTTGGTAACAATGTCAACTGCACCAAAGATTGAGGTCCACACAAGTAAGGGAGATTCACCACTCAGCGGGGTGGGCTCTGTCGTATTTAGAACCATGCAGCAACTCTGGCATCAGGTTTATTTCCTGTGGAGAAACCTGCTATTTTCTTTTGAAAGTCTGTTGATGATGAGTTACATAGATTTACTCATGGGTTAGGTTATTTCAAATGGTTAATCCTTTGAGGGTTGGTGAGAGATAGGCATGTTTAATTTGATTTATGTCCATACCAAAGTTTTTCACAAAGAAACTTGGAACCAAATTGCTTATCAAGTCTTAATGTTGTTCTTTTTCAGAATGACTTCCCATCGTCCACGTCTTCCTTCCTCAGAGTGGCTTACATCAATGGAAGTGAAAAACAGGAAACTTATCCTGGACCCGTGACTTGGAGTCCACTACTTAGGGAACATGCTGAACGGTTTAGGGATAGAAAAAAGTTATCTGCATCGCTTTCTCTTTCGCAAGAGATACCTATTTTACTTGGGGCTGTTGCCGGTGTCTTGGTGTTGCATCCGTCCCTAGGACCTGATGCTATTGATTCTTTGTCTGCTATCGGTGGCATTGATCCTAAAATGAGTGTCCCACTGTTGTTAGCTGTTCTATATTACAGCAACTTGTTATCTCGACCTGATGTCCCTTGTCAGAGTTTGTTGGTGAGACTACTCTCAAATCCAAGTGCTTGTTTCTCCTTATTTCTTTTACATATAGTCAAGTTCCCATTTGATTTCTTTAACTTGCAGTCAAAACTTCTGGGGTTGCTTCCATCACTAGCTGCACAACAGGTGATGATTCCACTTGTAGTTCAGACTATTACACCAATGCTACACAAGGATGCGAAAGGGTCAGTACACCTTTTTCTGATCATTTCTTGTGTGTTATGTTTTTTTAAATCGTGTTTATAATAGTTGATTTTGGGTTGAAACCTTTACTTAGTGCTTGCAAAACTCTATTTTAACCTTTGCTCTTTGGTAAACTGGTAGTCTTTGTAAACAGCTATCAGTGGTTCCTTTAACTTTTCTAATTCTGGGCTTATTTATATTTTAAACGTAAAATTGGAAGCCAAAAGATTAGTATGTGAGGTTTCATGCGTTACCCTACATTTACCAATCTTGTTGAACTGGGTTTCGGTGCTCTACCTTGTTTCATTTCTATATTCCTATTGCAATGGATTTGACATGAGTAGCTCTGATGATGGTTTATTTTAGTCTGTTGTATGCTACAGCCATTAGATTACTTTGCCAGACCTGGGTTGTCAATGACCGTGCCTTTTCAAGTCTGCAAGTAAGCTATACTATACCCCCTGTGAAATTTTGCTCAACATTGATGAGCTCATGCCTGTACTATTTTTATGTATTTCTATGGTAGTAATTATTTTGAATACTCAGGAGGTGTTACGTCCGAAAGGATTTATAGACTTTATCTCAGAGAGACATATCTGCATTAGTATGGCTGCTTCCATTCACGATGTATGCAAGAGACACCCTGATAGGGGAGTAGACCTAATCTTGTCCGTTCAGGTATAGTTTCTCAAGTGATGTTTGCTATTGCTGCTTTGCCTGTATATTGAAACTATTGGGGGTGCCTAAGTGCCTTTAAATTTTTTCACTGGATTCATACTTTGATAGGCCTGTATAGAAAGCCAAGACTGTTCAGTTCAAGCACTTGGTTTTCAGAGTCTTTCCCATCTGTGTGAAGCCGATGTCATTGGTACTCTCTTGATGCTTGTTTGTGTTGGATAATTCCTTTGTATTTCGCTCATATTGTATCGACTAACGTTTGCTTTGTCCATCCAGATTTCTATACTGCATGGGGTGTCATTGAGAAACATGCTCAAAACATCAAACTGGATCCTTTCCTTGCTTATAGGTTAGCAGCTCTCATATCCCAAATCATATTTACAGGCATGGTTAAGGTGTTTAAAGTGGTGGATCTTTTAGCTATTGTTAGTTGAGATTTCTGAAAAAAAATAACTATTTGATGTATAACTAGCACTATTATAATGAATATGTTGCAGTGTATGCATTCTTCTAAAGTGGGGTGTAATGGATGCCGAAGCATATCCTGAAGATGCAGAAAAGGTTCTGAACATTCTGTGGGAAATTGGGAGCTCTATGCAGATGCCTCATGATACCCAATGGACAAAGGCAAGAGTCTCTGCCTTAATGGCCCTTGGTCAATATGAGGTACGTAGTGGATTTCTGTGTCTTATACGTCTTTTATAGGTGTGTTCTAGGCCATCGT